GGGCAATACTGTTGTAATAAACAAGTCTTTCTTCTAACTGCTCAATTTGGAGATCAAATGATACCATTTTATGATTTTATTTATTAAGAATTTGTATGATATATTTGGAAGTAAAATGTGGGGAGAGAGAGAGAGAGAGAGAGAGAGACTGGGATACATTTACAGGTAGGAAATGAGGAGGAGAGTGAGAAAAAACAGAGAGAGAGAGAGAGAGAGAGAGTAGTGATTTGGATAAGAGGAGAACGGTTAGGTGATGATGTAAAGCACCTGACCAACTCACCTGTATGTGACCCTATCTCCATATATGACTGATTATAGCATTTTCCCTTCAAGAGAAACGAATGGCCACAGTTTGTCATTGGTAGAAATTAGATCTGCTAAGGGGTACATTTTAAGGTTCTATCTGCAATTTTATGATAACGGTATACTTAATATAATTTTGTATTAATCTTTACACTTAAAATGATAAGATGGTGAGCTAGCTCTCTCTCTCTCTCTCTCTCTCTCTCTCTCTCTCTCTCTCTCTCTCTCTCTCTCTCTCTCGCTGGATGTGATGTATCACTGATTCAAGAAGGCCGGGATATGTTTGCCATTTTCTCTGTTGAGTTATCTCTCATTTGTTATGTCTTGCTCTCCCTTATATTGTTTCTTTTCTCCCCCATCTTTTCACCCTTTCTTCATTCTCTTCTCTATTTCCCTTTACCACTGATCTTTTTTTTCCAGATCTTTGTCTTTCACTATTACCTTCCCAATGTTGTTCTTTTGTTTCTATTCGCCTGGATGGTTACTGTACCTCCAATAGTGCCTCCCCCTTCCAAGAACAGCATGCGCCAAAAATCATCAGAATATCTAACTAGTATTAAGACATTATCCCATCCACCTTGAACTTGAAGGTAGCTAGTAGTCCTCAGTGTGAGATGGAGAATACATTCTTTAAGAGGATCATTCCATTGCTTAAATGTCAAGGTGTCATTAAGGGATTTCACTCTGAGAGATGGAAGAGGATGGGAGGGAGCTCTGGTTTGCTGCTCACCTGTCGATAAGTGGGTTTTGGCGTTCCACTTCCGAGCCTGACCTAGCTCTATCTCCCCATCTCCCCATCGCAGTGCCTCATGCCATCTCATTAATATTCTACCTGCCTTCATCCAGGTGACGTGTGGTTGATGAGCACATCCATCTTATACCTGTGAAAGGTGCCCTGTCTCATTAGGCCTGTCTTCATCAGCTTGAGATTGCCAAATAGCCTGCTATTTCTGATTTGGGAAATAATGACGAAGTTACAAATCACGTCTTCATCAGCTCGAGACTCAAAACTTGAAGCTCGAGAAATTAGCTTGAGATATTTTGCTCAGCGTTCGCGCATAGTGCGAGTCTTTGGGCTGGTGAAGACGCACCGGACAAATAGCAGGATATTTTGCAAACTAGCACAAGATTTCTTGGGATGATTATCTTGACCAAATATCCCACTATTGCAACTTCGGGCTGATGAAGACGCAAATTAACAATATTTAGCAATCTCGAGCAGATGAAAACAGGCCTCTTTAAGATGAATGCAGGGAAGGGAGGGATGCCGAGATAATAGGTCAGCTCAAAGGATGTGGGTTAGTGTAGTGAGGGAGTAGCTAGGTGGGGTGATTTAATAATTGAGAGGATTTTGGAAGTAGATTAAATTTTAATGGTATGCTTTGTGATATGTTCCATTTTCATTTCATTCTTTTGAGGGTTGATGGTCAAGTATGTGATGGAATGGGTGACTTTGTTAATATATAGAGGTGTAGGATATGTGTTGATGGAATGTGATATGTCCTTGTTTTATACTACATTGATCAATTTGTTGATTGTCAAGTTTTAAAGGAGGAAAATAACTAAGAACTAGCTCTCACGATATGCCTTTTTGAGATGATAGTGTCTTCTCAGAGCTATAAAAGAACCTTCACTATTATCATTGCGCCAGCGTGTATGGTAACCCTTCGTTCAGATGATGTATGCTTGTTGGTGCATCCATCTTCTTTTATCTGTGAGAGATGTCCTGTCTCATGATGAGGTGTTTGTAGGGGGGGGGGGTATGCTGAGCACCACATAGTTCACAACATTTCATATCCTCATTTGACAGATACCATCTTCTAACAGCAATCAGTTTTGGAAAATATGTTGTCAATAGTTCTCTGACTTATCTCAGGAGGATGATGATGTCTATGAATAATCACAGCTTTTGATTTGTATCATTCTTTTCCATGTCACTCAAAGTCAGAGTGTCGTACTGTAAGTCTCGGATAACTTTCATTACTCGAGCATGTTATTTCTGTACATATAACACCTGATTCTTGCCTTCACAACATTGCTGTTTCTCTTGGGACATGTTTATACATGTGTCCTGTTCATGCAGGAGCAATAAGTGTTATCAATCTGTTTCTAGAATTACACCAAATCTAACGTTGCCAGAATAACCAATTAAATTCAATACTCGATAACTCTCGACACAAGCTTCACGCTATGCTATCCTCGACAGTGATGTCAAACTTGCTGCATGGGCAATCTACCTCTTCAGAGACTTGGCTTCTCCAAAGGATCGACTTACTCAAGCTCCCTTAAACTGTTAAGTTTGCAGTTTGTATTTACAAAAATCGCTGTAGCTCTGCAACTACTGGTAAAGAAAGCAAACAACAACAACATACTATATGACTGCAGATGGGATTCAGAACAGTTTCAGTGTATCCACAGTGTGAATACACTGTGTTACAAAGTTTACTCACTGTGGCCCAGTTTGACATACTGTTTGCTAAAGGTAGAACTACACAGCGTTCGTCAGTTTGATCACAGAAATGAGTTAGAAAACTTGAAGATTGAACACAGTGAATTAAACCATATATTTTGGTATTGATAACCCTTGTCCACACTGTGGGACTAGGTTTTGACCAGCTGTGGATGCAGACAGAATAACGACAGTGTGCATGTACCTCCTAATGGTCACAGAGATTTGAAAAAAGAAGAACTTACATAGGGTTCATCATGTAAGAGCACAGTTTTAGCACTGTGTCATAGTGTGATCAATCTTACCACAGAGAAATGCAGTGTGTTATACTTCACTTTGATCAGAGATAGAATACAGAAAACATGAGTAGTCTTTGAAATGTAAACACACTATATTCACACTGTTTTAAACATTGACCTATTCTCAGCTACATTGCACCCCATCTCTCCTCTCTCCATCCCTCTCCAGCTTGCACCCTTGCATCCCATCTCTACTTTCTTTCCATCTTGGCCCCTGTTGCCCCATCTTTTCTCTCTTATACCCAGAATCCTTGTACCCCATCTCTCCTCTCCTCTCTTCTTCCATCTTCAGCCCTTGTATCCCATCTCTTCTCTCTCCATCTTGCCCCCTGTGCCCCATCTTTTCTCTCTTATACCCAGAATCCTTGTACCCCATCTCTCCTTTCCTCTCTTCTTCCATCTTCAGCCCTTGTATCCCATCTCTTCTCTCTCCATCTTGCCCCCTGTGCCCCATCTTTTCTCTCTTATACCCAGAACCCCTGCACCCCATTTCTCTCCTCTCTTCTTCCATCTTCAGCCCTTGTTCCCCATCTCTTCTCTCTCCATCTTGCCCCCTGTGCCCCATCTCTCCTCTTCTAGCCCTTGCACCCATCTCTCCTCTCTTATTCCAGCTTCAGCCCTTGCACCCCATCTCTTCTCTCTCCATCTCGCCCCCTGTGCCCCATCTCTCCTCCTCTAGCTCTTGCACCCATCTCTCCTCTCTCATTCCACCTTCATTCCTTGTTCCCCATCTTACTCTCTTGCCATCTCTAAACCCCCTTGGTGTCCCCCTGCTCTTGTCTCATTGGCATTCTCCTGGCTTACCTTTCGTGGTAATTTGCAATTTCTTGAGTGGTTCCATTGAAGGGCTTGCGCCTCACCTTGTTGGGAAGCTTATGAATGAGCAGCACCTGCGGTACTTGAGCGTGTAGTAAACAGAACTCTTTGGTATTCACAAAAAGGGCAGAGACTCGTAGATGTATGCTTCTGCATCAGAAATCAGGGGTGGATGAACCCTCAACAGCGACTTTGAATTTACTCACAGTTCTCAACCCTTCCAAAATTCAAGAATCGCACCTCTCAGCAACCAAAGCTTGGCTTTCAAAGTGTTTTTGTAATAGATATGAATAAGGCATGCACAGTATACTATGTCCAAAGTGTGTCTTGACATCGCTGTCAGAAAAGAAATAAGGATAAGATACTCACCTCCAATATTTCAAAGAAAAAGTATCAAAGATGGTCAAGCAATAGTTAAAAAATCTTTTATTTTGCAAGATGACTTTGATTTCTGAAGATACTAGATTGATTTGTAGCAACCTGTTCGGCTGTTCCCTGCTCTTAAGTAACAGAGAATTTAATAAAACCCTCAGCTTTAGGGAAATAGCAACAAAGTTCCAGTTTGTCATTTTTTCTCACTATAATTATTAATTACTCTTTGAAGGCTTATTTCAGTAATCATGCCTGAATTCTTTTCACTTGTACAGTTTCCTGTACTTTCTACAGTGATATTCCATGAGCAGAAATCACATGATTTGCAAATTTGTGTTCTGTCCATATTATGCAGTAGCTGAAAGACTTTTCTTGAACCCGATGAAGCAAAGTTAGCGAAATCAAGACTTGAATCATTTGTGCCATTTTCCAGGAGACTAATACTGTGTACTAGCTAAAAGTGTCAGAACCATTCCTCTTCACAGAGTTACTACTTTGCTAAGTCCTTCCATATATCAATGTCAATGGCTCCACACGTTCTTGTCAATCACAATATCTACCTCAATAAATTTAAACTAATCTAACAAAGATCCGCCATAATGTCTAATCAAAGACATTGTTTGTTTCTCACTTATCCCATGCCTAGATACACAGAGGGGTTCGTGCAAACCCCACTCGAGAATTGAGAATACAATTTACACTATGATTTACCCAACACTTATTATTTCTCTTCGTTTTTATCTTTGTTTGATCACCTACAGGCCACATTACATTTGCATAATACGCTGACCTCGACCGACCGACCGATCGCACCCCGGAGTAAAGATAGACTTTCTTATCTGGACTTGACACAACCAGAATTATGAGTTTCGGAGCGTAGCGGCAGTGCATGGAAGCAATCCGTAACTTGTAATGCAAGCTGTATCGTGCACCATGGTTACGTTGTCATGACGACGAGGTAAGGATGCAAATGAGAAAAGTCAACATGATATCATGCTGCCATGTTGGAAGGCACATGAGGTGTGAGGGCAGGGGTCTGTCAATCATTAATCATATATGCTTTCTTTGCAGCTTGAATTATTATAATATTCGCCGTTTCTTTGTAATCCTTCCATTTTATAAGAACAATGATTTCAGTGTCATGTCATTTCCTTTTTTAAAAAAATATTTGTAATGGACTTGTTCCTTGTTTGTGGTCTTTTTCCCCTCCCCTTCCTACTTCAGCTCACTTTCAATAGAAGTTTTGCAATCAGATACAATGTGCAGTTTGCCACTTTACAAGTAGGCTTATAAATACTGTAACTGAATTTCATATCGATGATAAACAGAAAATTGTATATTGAATGTGCTGAGGGATTCCTTTTCAAATTTTAAAAAGACAATCATTAAATTGCTTTGCTTATTATTGCTTGATCAATGGCAATGATAAAAGATATAGCACAAGCCAAAACATCATCATCATCTGTTCTGGATTATGATGATATGAAATGACTGATTTTAGCGATGTACATTACTTATCTTCTGAAGACTTTTTAAGGAATTAAGATAAAAATTTAATCCTAAAACAAAAGCTATTCCTGATTTTGTATTTATCTTAAAAGCATCAGATTTAAAACTCTTCTCTCTACAAAATCCAACCCTTGAATTTATTCTCTTTGCTCCTGTAAACTGAAGTGCCCTTTTATTTTTTCCCAACAATTCTGGAGTGTACTCTCTCCATTCCATCTCAAACTGTCTTTGGAGTAGGCTGTATTTGTCCATCTGATGGAGAAGCTTCTCTTTCTTTCTCTTGTTATCTGCCTCTTTCTTTCTCTTTATCTTCCTCCTCTTTCTTACTCTTTATCTTCCTCCTCTTTCTTTCTCTTTATCTTCCTCCTCTTTCTTTCTCTTTATCTTCTTTCTTTCTCTTTATCTTCCTCCTCTTTCTTTCTCTTTATCTTCTTTCTTTCTCTTTATCTTTATCTTCTTTCTTTCTCTTTATCTTCCTCCTCTTTCTCTCTCTATATCTTCCTCCTCTTTCTTTCTCTTTATCTTCCTCCTCTTTCTTTCTCTTTACCTTCCTCCTCTTTCTTTCTCTTTATCTTCCTCCTCTTTCTTTCTCTTTATCTTCCTCTTTCTTTCTCTTTATCTTCCTCCTCTTTCTTTCTCTTTATCTTCCTCCTCTTTCTTTCTCTTTATCTTCCTCCTCTGCTGATGCAAAGGTCTCGGTTTGTTGATCGCACGGTTTAGACTGTCAATATTTGGAGACATGAACATGCATTTAAAAGAACTAGAGAAAGACACAGAGCAAAAGAACACCATGAAGGCTTGAAAGAATGAGACAGAGAGGGAAAGAGAGTGAATGAGAGATGGAGAGGAATAACAAGAGAAAGAGAGATTGTGTATAAAAATATGTATGAAAGAATATATAAGTGACGGAGAAATATAGTGAGCGAGAGAGAGAAAAAGAAAGAGAGGGGAGAGAAATTTTGTGACAGAGAAATATAGTGAGCAAGTGAGAGAGAATGAAAGAGATGAAAGAGAGAGAGAGAGCGAGAGAGAGAGAGAGAGAGAGAGATAGAGAGAGAGAGAGAAACGGAGAGAGAGAGAGAGAAAGAAAGAGAAATTGAAAGAGAGGAGAGAGAAATTTTTAGAGGAAGTGGGAGAAACAGAAATAGCCCTGAGAAAATAATTCTTCGGCAGAGGCTGCAAAATGTTGCGTGAGACCTCAAATTAAGACTTGTGGGGTAGGCAAATAGGTGGTAGCTTTGTGATAGTCATGAGCAGCAAATAGGCACAAAGTGAGCAGGATTCTTGTCAACAAAACTGGTCAGTCGCTCCCTCATCATTCTGTTCTCGGTTTGCTGTCTTTCCACATCAATTTAAAGATAGAGTTGAGTCCCAGTCATGCGATTGCAGCATGGAGAAAGGAGCTGGAATTACTTTGGGAAAGGTTGATTATGTATTACATGAAATTGATGTATACTGTGAGGTATTGAAATCATCAAAATGATATGAGCGTTATCTAGTCTCGCTGAAGAGTACATTTGCTCCACACAGATATGGGTATACGGGACTCTACATGCACATATTGCATGAATGTTTGGTTCAAACACTTCAGCCCCTTTTTATTTTCATAATATTTCAAATATGAGGGCATTTGAAGAGCAATCCTTTCAGGGGACATTTCTACTATGATGTTCTTACCAACCGAATAAAAAGTATGAGAAAGCTCACAAAATGTTTTTCTACTTTACTAGAACTCATTCTACTCTTAAACTTCAACCACTCCCTTTTGAACAGCTTGTAAACTTGCTTTTGTGGTAGAAATCCAACTGAGAAACAGTGACTTTGTACTTTTTAAAATCTTTTCTTGTCTGAGGAATGAAGTTTTTGCTGTAAGAATTTCTTTCAGATGAATGTGTGAAGCAATTTATGGAAGTTATTCTGGTCAATATTTGAGAGGTCACATCTAGCTTTTCATGTAAGAGTTTGCTTTGTGAAAGAAGTTTTGATTATTTTTTTGGACTGTGAGTCACTTTTTACAAAGCAGCTAGTTCATGTAAAAAAAAAGAATGCATAGCCAGAGAGAGAGAAAGAGAGAGAGAGAGTGCAAGAGCTAGATAGAGAGGTAGAGAGGGCATGGGGAAAAAAGTAAAAGTATAGAAAATGGCATAAAAAGGAGTGAAAGAAAGAAAGAAAAGAGAGACAGCGAGAAATACAAATCTAATATATTAGTAGAAAAATTAAACAAATATTGATTACAGTGAAAAATAGTCTTAAAAACAGATGAGTCATAATAAATACGGTAAATCATTAAAAACAAAATTCAAGAAAAAAACATTAATGCTATACTATATCAGAGGAAACAGGCTTGATGATTAATCTTGTAAATATTTGTGGAGAGTCTTTCATAACCACAGAGCTGCCAACTAGTACGGATTTTCCGTAATTGGTACGGAAATTAACGACCATTACGGAATGTTGTCTCAAATTACGGATTTAAAAAAAAAAAAAAAAAAAAGATTTTTTTTTTTTTTTTTTTTTTTTTTTTTTTTTTTTTTAATGAATTAAATATGATTTATCGTAGCGAGTGCTGTGAATAGGAGCCATTTTTCATGATAAACTGTGTTGTGATGACCTGAAATTCAATACTTAACATCTTTGTGTGAGTAAAATCACCAAAAATTTCAGATAATCATGCGTCCGCGCAGTGTTGGCGTGTCGTTTTTTTAGATTCATAGCGCCGCATAAGAAATTACTGATTTATACCCCAAATTACTGATTTTGAGCCTTGTGATTACTGATTTTCTGTTCTGGAGGTTGGCAGCTCTGTAACCATATTAGAACAGATATTTCCTACAATATGATTGGCATATCTGTCAGTTTAACACTGAAATGATCACTGATTAGCTTTGAGATTAGAGAAATGAGAAGATGAACTTCATATGATACTGGTAGTATCAATATACGTTACCTCCGGGCGGGCAACATAAAACTCTGATCAAATCGGGAAGAATCTTGAGGGTACTTGCAAGCAATTTTGGCCAAATATTGACAGAGAAATATATATCTTTTCCCCTCATCTTAATGAAGTTTGTTTGGGTTAGGGTTTCATAATCTTCTTAATAAACCATACTAAATAACTCTGTAAAAATATTTGTAAAAGCTCTCAATCATCTTCAGGAGTTTGAACTTGTGACTGAAGCATGAAACATAAGAGGAAAATAAAACTTCTTTAGAGGTATGATATTGACTCAAATAGTATCTTTTGATTGTACAATTTGCCTCAACATCTTGAAAAAAATGTGTGGAAAAAAAACTCCACATCCTGTGTAGGAGTTTCAACTTGATAGTGACGCATAAGAATATGACAAACCTGTTAAAGGTAGAAATCTTAGTCAAATGTTTTATTTTTTATTTTGTTAAATTGCAGAATGCCTTCAGATTGTCATTTGATGTAATTTTGATTTACATGATGATTTTTTATGTTGGAAAAAATCATAATGAAATTAATAAGTTGATTCGATTCATATATCTACCAGTGCTACCGTCGTTCCATTCACAGACAGTATTACCAGTGTAACTTGATTATATTTCATTTTACTATATCGTGGCATTTTTTAAAATGTTGGATATGATTTAATTTAAGTATGACAAGCCAAGCATTCACAAAATCTTCAGCTCAAGTATTCTAAGGTTTAATATTTTCAAAGGTTTAAGATTTATAAATGTATGTTTGAATCATATATAATGTAGAGTGCAGACGTATCTTGCAATACTTGCATTCTACTCTTGATGATGTTAAGAGACTAAAGTTTCTACAGACCGAAAGTTTTCTTCAAACATCAATAAGACACAAACTCCAACTTCACAAAGTTTGTGATCAGAAAAAAGAAAAGCTAGAGTCCATGTTTGTATCCCTGGAACAAATTGACGAAAGATGAAGAGCATCAAGGAGATGTCAAATAATAGCAACGATCATCATTGCTACCAGGATGACTTGTTACCATGACGATGATGATGAGAAAAGGAAGTCATCATCAACCCTCAGATAAGAATCAAATCACTGCCGTTTTCTCGTCCGTACGGTGTCATCGTGCTTGTCATCTGTAATAAGGCATTTTTGCGTTGCGCAGCTAACCAAATTTGTTGTTCCTTCTTCCAATAAGAGAGAAGTTATTGATTACATCGGGTGACAAGACATCAGTTAAGGTTTTGTTTCGGAGTCCTCTGAAACCTGCTTGGATGAAACTTTACAGGTAGAGACTGAGTTTCTCCCCTTTTTCCATCTTGTCTTCTATGCAAATATGAAGACTGTCCTCTTGTCATTTGTATAGGTGTACTTTGAGCAAGATGGAAAATCAATGCATGGAAAGTATGAATTATTCATAGCACCCGACCCTTTGTGTTTTTAGTTTTTAAAGTTCAGTTTAAAAGAAATCTCTTGCCTGTCAATCTCCCCATCTGTGATTTTTT